GTGAAATAGTACAACTATTATTATGATATTATCACCACTGAGGCCTGCAGTAGTACTTCTGATAATCCTACTGATCCTAGCGTACTGCTGCTACGATGCTAGCGCTGCTATCGTCCACACACTGTCGACCGTCTAACGTGTCACAGCTGAAGCAGTAAGACTCCTCCCTCTCCCTCTCCCCCTCCCCCTCCCCCTCCCTTTCCCGTCTCCAGGTGAGGCGTTCACCTGCCTGGAAACCGTCGTACGATTGGACGCCCTCCACAGACAGCTGCGTCTCCTTGGAGACAACAACCCAGTGAGCAAACTGCAGGTCAAGTTTGAGCCAGGTAACCTCACACACACACACACACACACACAGATACAACCAGGTGTGATACAGGTGAGGTCACCTGAGCGTTTCCTGCCCCTCCCCCTCCAGGTGTGAACCCCAGCACTCTGATGAACCTGTTCACCTACGAGAAAGGCTTCTGCTTCGTGTCCTACCTGTCTGAGCTGTGTGGAGACGTGCGGCGCTTCGACTGCTTCCTCAGGGTCAGAACACACACACGAGTACACACACACATAAACTTACATACATACATGTATGAATATATACAAATATGTAAACAGGTACACGAGTGTTCCTCAGATACTTCTGGTCAGAACCGTCGACTGCAGCTGATATTTCCATAAATTTGGTTGTGACACAGAAACACGACATCATGCTTTACATGAGCATCACACACCCTCCGTCTGTGTGTGTGTCTGTGTGTGTCTGTGTGTGTTTGTGTTTGTGTTTCCAGGACTACATCTCAGAGTTCAAGTTTAAGAGCGTGGTGGCCCAGGACCTCATCGACTACTTCCTGGGTTACTTCCCGGAGCTGAAGGACGCCGCCGTCGCTCAGAGAGAAGGTCTGGACTCGTTTCCACCCACTGAGTCGGGCCCCGGTGACCCCTCCCCCTCTGTGACATCACTTCCTGTGTGTTTGTCCTCAGGTCTGGAGTTCGAGCGCTGGCTGAGCGGCTGTGGACCTCCTCCGTACGAGCCGGACCTGTCGGCGGGCGGCGCTCTGATCCGACCCGTCCAGGACCTGTGTGAGCTGTGGAGGAGCTCCGACCCCCCCGACCTGCAGACGCTCTCCACCTTTGACCTCTCAGCCTGGAGCACCTTCCAGATCGTCCTGTTCCTGGACCGCATGTTGGACCACTCGCCGCTGCCTCACGGTACACTGTTTCATATACACGTCTTATATGTACACAACTTCACCCCTAAAACGCAGTATGTACACCTCTGCATGTACACCACCATACATACATCACCATGGTTACACCTCCACCTCCGTACTCATCCCACCAGTACTTCTACCACCATACGTACACAGCTATACGTAGCCCTCCACAGCTTCCTGAGTTGTCCGTGTTTAATTAGATTTATTGATCATCGATTGTCTGTGTGTCTCAGATGTGATGGTGAGTCTGTCGGGTTCCTACTCGTCGCTGTTCGACGGTCTGAACGCTGAGGTCCAGATCCGCTGGCTGCAGATGGTGGTGAGGAACACGTTCTACCCCGACCTGCCGCGAGTCCGAGCCTTCCTGCACAAACACGTAAGAACCAGCGTCCATCACACATGTTCGTCTACATACAGCAGATTCAGTCATCTGGACCTCTGATGTTCTGCTGAAGTGAACAGAACAGACCCGGAGCAGACTGGTGGTGGATCTCTGAAAGTGGTTCTGGGAGTTTTTGCGTCTTTGTCTTTGTTACGTTGTGCTCATTTTGCATCTGTTTGTTTTCGTTTTGCGTCTGTTTGAGCCGTTTTAATCTCTTATTCTGTGTTTCTTTGTGCTCATTTTGCATGTGAGTTTATTGGAGCGTCTTTGTGGCCCGTTTGTGCTGAAGAGGTGGTTCTGTTTGCTTTGAATCACCTTCTGTTTATGTTCATCTGGCATCCTCTGCTGTTTGCTTTTGTCTCTCTGTGGCCAGTTTGTGTC